TCCGTACGCGGCAACCTCCCCGAGGGCGCTTCCACGGGGTCGCGTCCTCACGTGGCTTGGGGTTTTCCCGCATCGGAAAAGAGAATGAAACGGCATCTCTGCGGATGTGCTTTTCTTTTTCCCCTTTCCAAGGGTCGGGAAGTCAAACCAAGGAGGCGAGAAGTCTCGTATCGCACCGGTATCCTGGCGTGCCGCCGTGAGCTGCCCGGGGCAGGGCGGGCTCCGGGGACGCGTGGTTAAAGCTCCTTCCTCGGGCACTCAAAAACCGGGCTCTGCGCCGTGCAGCTGCTTGAGGGCTTTTGCTCTGGAAAAGCAAAGAGTGGTTTTGTGCGCCACCCTCTACCCTTCCTAGGAGCGCCAGGGCTGGGAATGAGCCCTGAGCAGCGCCCTGAGCCGGAGGGCTTTGGGTGCGCAGTGAAGTTAAGGGAAACAGGAAAAATAAGGCAGAGTCTTGCAGCTGCAGCAGCGGCACTTGTTTTGCTTCTTTCCACCAGCGCCAGAGGTAGGAGGGAGTGGATTTGCATGTAGTGGCTGGCTGGAAGGGATGAAATGCGATCAAACCTCCCTTTGGTTCAGGCAGAGCTCCCTCCGGTCCCCAGGACCGCAGGGGGCCCGGGGAGGCTAGGAAAGGAAAGGAAAGGAAAGGAAAGGAAAGGAAAGGAAAGGAAAGGAAAGGAAAGGAAAGGAAAGGAAAGGAAAGGAAAGGAAAGGAAAGGAAAGGAAAGGAAAGGAAAGGAAAGGAAAGGAAAGGAAAGGAAAGGAAAGGAAAGGAAAGGAAAGGAAAGGAAAGGAAAGGAAAGGAAAGGAAAGGAAAGGAAAGGAAAGGAAAGGAAAGGAAAGGAAAGGAAAGGAAAGGAAAGGAAAGGAAAGGAAAGGAAAGGAAAGGAAAGGAAAGGAAAGGAAAGGAAAGGAAAGGAAAGGAAAGGAAAGGAAAGGAAAGGAAAGGAAAGGAAAGGAAAGGAAAGGAAAGGAAAGGAAAGGAAAGGAAAGGAAAGGAAAGGAAAGGAAAGGAAAGGAAAGGAAAGGAAAGGAAAGGAAAGGAAAGGAAAGGAAAGGAAAGGAAAGGAAAGGAAAGGAAAGGAAAGGAAAGGAAAGGAAAGGAAAGGAAAGGAAAGGAAAGGAAAGGAAAGGAAAGGAAAGGAAAGGAAAGGAAAGGAAAGGAAAGGAAAGGAAAGGAAAGGAAAGGAAAGGAAAGGAAAGGAAAGGAAAGGAAAGGAAAGGAAAGGAAAGGAAAGGAAAGGAAAGGAAAGGAAAGGAAAGGAAAGGAAAGGAAAGGAAAGGAAAGGAAAGGAAAGGAAAGGAAAGGAAAGGAAAGGAAAGGAAAGGAAAGGAAAGGAAAGGAAAGGAAAGGAAAGGAAAGGAAAGGAAAGGAAAGGAAAGGAAAGGAAAGGAAAGGAAAGGAAAGGAAAGGAAAGGAAAGGAAAGGAAAGGAAAACTGCAGCAGTTTTCGATCATCTTGTTGAGGTGCTGGAAGGATTCGTTGAACACAGAGTGATCTTTTTACAACATGATTCGTTAGTTTGGTATGTTTTCGGGGCAAATATAGCTGTCCTTCTGATTTTAAAAAAAAATTGTGTAAGCATTCTTACGTCTTAATGAATTAGTTGTTATAATACTCAATGGCTCGTTCATCAGTATGATTATCTTAGGTACCTTCGAAAAGTTGTCCCATATCTCGATTTAAATGCCACCTTCTCACCTGTCAGTACTGAGCTTTCTGGGAAAGGGAGTCGGGTTCCCCATGTTCCTTGAAGTCCCTCCTCAACAGCCCCTCCATCACTCGGCAGCACGAATCACCAAGGGGGAACCGTCCCCCATTTGCCTGCCTAAACCCGGTGGAAATAAGCCCCTGCAAAAGCACTGCTTCTCCTCGGTCTGTCCACAGTCCCTTGGCTCCGGGGGACAGCTTCTCCCCTGCCAAACCGGGAATTACTGCTGGCTCAGCAGCAGGACCCTTTCTCCTCTGCATCTGCCCTGGGGGCCGGGCAGCCCGTCCGCTGGGAAGTAGCGAGCGGGGCCGCGTCCCGGGGGATCCCGCTTGCACCGCGGGGCCCAGCAGCAGGGACCGCTTCCCTAGGGAGCATCCTCTCCTGCTCTTGCTGAGCACCGTTTTGCTCGCGGAGTATCGCGCCCTGTCGCGGAACTGTTCACTTTTACAGTTATTTTCAGGCTTCGATTTCCCTCCTGGAAGAGGTCTGACAGCTGGATGTCCAGAAAAAAAGTTGTTGCCCCTTTTTAGTTATAAACGCGTCTGTCCCCTTTTGCACCAGCTCTGACTGCGGCCCGTCCTTCCTGCCGCTTAGCAATCGCCTGATGGCCATTAGTTTCTGAATTCATACGTACTTCCAGCACTATATAAAAAAGAGAGAGCCCTATAATTCAAAGAACGCACTTACACACACACAGGGACGTTTGGACAATTGCTTTCGTTTTTATTGCTATTTCCAAGGCAGTGTGACTCGTGAGCCACACAAGTAGATTTACCAGCCTCCTCCAGCTGGCTCAGAAAAGTCACAGCGAAACCCAAAGCTATCAAATACGTATCCTTTTCTCAGTTTATAGTCCCAGACAAAGGCGAAACCAGCAGCTTGTATTTCATTTTTTTATTTGGAAATCTCACCCAGAAACACTGGTCAATAATAAATATATCGATAGTTATCAAGAATATATAAAAAATAAAGACACGGTGTTGTCTTTCAGGCCCTAACCAAAAATAAACAAAAGGAATTAATAATAGCAGTTTTTCAAGCAAATGCCCGGAAAAACATACCGAAAAAGAAATAAACACCAAAAAATTCCGATTTAGTAATACAAGTCACCGATCTGGAAAGAGCAGACCCCGCACGCAAAAAAAAAAAAAAAAAAAAAAAAGGAGAAAAAGAAAAGAAAAGAAAAGAAAAGAAAAGAAAAGAAAAGAAAGAAAAACGAAAGGAAAATAAAAGCTAACAGAACAAAACCAAAGCCAACAAGGGAAATAAGCGACGAGGACCCCAGCCAGCTGAACTAGTACACTCCACTAAGAGCAGGAGATGAAGATTTGGCAAAACAGACCTGGAGGACGGTTGTGTTGTATTTTGCACAGTTTCCCTCTCTTTTTTTTTTTACTTCAAGCAGACACAGAGGGAAGAAGAAGAAGAACTGCAAACAAAACCGCATCGCAGCCAAGTCTGAAATAAACTTTAGTAAATTCACTATGAAGTCCTTGTTACAAGGAAAACTGCATCATTGCCTGTACAACACGTTTAAGAAGATTCAGTTAGAAGCATGCATGCACTCTTTTTGAGCTACATCGGGACTCCACTATGCTTCCAGACCCCGGTTTGGAGCAGAAAAAAGATTTTTGAGATGTTGCCGTTCAAAAGAAAAGAAAGGAAAATCCCGGAAAAGAAGAAGAAGCCCCAAACCGATCTCATCGTCTCTGAGTAGCTGCGAACACTACAATGACAACCATGTCTTTTTTTTCTCATCCATTTAAAGGAAATATTTACATTTTATTACCACGAGCGGCATTATTATTATTCTTTTTACAGCTGGGATTTGTTTATTTGTTTGTTTGTTTCGTTTTAGCGTAATAAGAAAACGCCGCCCCAGAAGCCGCCTAAAACATTACCTTTGCAAGGTCCTTGCTACACTAAGCCCGTGCGAGGCGAGGGCTGGGCAGGGGCCGGGGCCGGCCGGGAGAGGGTAGTGGGGGGGGCCTGCCGCAGCCCCCCGCCCCACCGCCCCCCCCCCGGCCCGCGCGGCAGAGCC